CATCACATCTAAGAGAGGGGAGAAGGAAAGGCATGGCTTTGAAAGTCCAGATATTTTGACAGGGGTGTTTGGGGATTTCAGCAATTTCTTTTTCCAGCAGCAACTATATCTTAGACAGTGGTTTATCTCTCTTTCCCATCTTCCAAGCAGGTCTGTTAACCCCTTTGGGCTGTGCTCAATCAGGGTTAGTGCATAATAAAGATCCTCTGCTTTTAGAATTACCTTTTTACCTGTAAATCCTCTGCAGGGGGCTGCGAACTCTTCAAAACAGGAACTGCTATATTCATTTTTCACCTGCTTCAGTGCCTAGTGAGAAACAAGGAAGGGAAGGGGAGAGCAAAAGGAGGAAGGAAGAAACAGATGAAAGGGATATCTACTTGGTACTTTACAAGGTAGTATTAATGAAATACACTGAAAAAAAAGAGTTCTGTGTTCAAGTTTCAGTTCTGACAGTGCCTCTACATCATTGGGTCATCACTCAGACTCTCAGAGCCTCAATTTCCTGTTCTGAGAAATGGAAATAATAATGCGTACTTCACCAGATCATTAGGAGAATTAAATAAGGTAACGTATTGGGCAACATTTTGTAAATGTGTCCTACTGTGTAAACTAAAATTGTATGGTGGTTTAACAAAAGAAATTGTTCTTTAAGTCTTCAAAGAGTTTATATCAGAAGTCGAAGCTAGAGGATTTACCAGGATGTTTCTGGCTTTATAGAGGTCATGACCCTTTTGGAGATGCCTCAGTTGACCAGTAAACACATTCCTTGCAAGGTTTAGTATTAAAATAGTATCAAATTCTCATCTAATCTGAATTAGAAGAGAAAATATTCCAACCTATGACTGTCAATCACAACACCGGTTGTGTTTAATAGTGATGGAATTCTGTCACTTCCACGAACACTTATTGAGCATTCACTGGGTGCAGGGCATTCTGGTGTATACTGATAAGAAACAACAAGCAAAGATAATTAAGATTGACCTCATCCTCCAAGATATTTACAGCCTGCTTTGCTTCCGTAAGCCTCCGTTTTTCCATCTGCCAAAACAAAGCTTCGAAGAGATGTCTACCAGGACCTTTTGAGTTTCATAACTCTCTAATTCCAGAATTCAAAGAGTAACTGTTATTACCTCCCACTGAATGATTCTTCTGAAAAAAAGCTCTCTGCTAGCTAAGCTAGCCAAGCCAACATACCTGAAGATAATACCAAAACTTCTGTTCGTGCCCCAGGAATTCCAAATTGATGTCACCCCAAAACGATGTCATTTATGCAATTCACCAGTCACTCAATAACACATTTGCTTAGTTGATTCTCATTAAAATCCTGCAGGATAGCATTATTACGCCCATTTTTCTTTTCTTTTTTTTTTTTATTGTACTTTAGGTTCTGGGGTACATGTGCAGATCATGCAGGATTATTGCATAGGTACATACATGGCAAGGTGGTTTGCTGCCTCCATCCCCCTGTCACCTATATCTGGCATGTCTCCCCATGTTATCCCTCCCCACTCTCCCCACCTTCTGCTGCCCCTACCCTCCCCCCACAACAGATCCCAGTGTGTGATGCTCCCCTCTCTGTGTTCATGTGTTCTCATTGTTCAACACCCGCCTATGAGTGAGAACATGTGGATTACATCCATTTTTCAAAAGAGAAAACCGAGTCTCAAAAGGATTAAATTATTTGCCCGGGTCGTACAGAAAGGAATTAGCAGGGCCAGAACATAAAAAACAATTTTTTCTCCCCCTTCTACCCTGTAAGAGCTTTTATTAACAAGCGATTGAGAAGCACAGGCTCGGGAAAACTGAATTTGACCAAAGAAGCCAATAGAACCATTCCAAAAACCAATGGTTCCCCCTAAAGCCCTGGAAAGACTCAGAACGGGTTAAGTTCTCCCTGGCTCAGTCCCAACAGACATTAAATTCACCTGTGCTTGCTCTAAAATAAATCAGTGTCCCTTTCTGCTGCTGCTGTTGTCTGGAAATAATGCAAATGCAATAGGCCTGCACTGACATTGTGCTTCCCTGGAAGGATACACATAATAAATTGTCCCTTAATACTGTTAAAGAGACATTTTCCTCTTACTCAGGAGCTTTTGGGATTGGACTAGGCTACTCACCCAGCAAGGAGGAGGACATGTGTCTTGTCACTGGCCCAGTTATTCATGTGGCCTCTCATCGCTCCTTGGCTCACTGCATTGCAAGGTTCAAGGATGTATTTTCAAGCCTCCACATCAAGTCAGAAACTGTCAGTTACCTGGATTGGTTTTCTCATTTGTAATTTGAATTTATTTTATGTTATACATTTGTATGTTTATTTATTTGGATGCTCAGAAGCTGAAAATAACTGGTGCTCCTGGTCCAC